TCTGAACATGAGGAAGAACTTCTTCCCTCTGAGGGTGACGGAGCACTGGAACAGGCTGCCCAGGGAGGTTGTGGAGTCTCCTTCTCTGGAGACATTCAAGACCCACGTGGACAGAGCCCTGTGCAGCCTGCTTTGGGTGACCCTGCTTCGGCAGGGGAGGGTTGGACTAGATGACCCACAGAGGTCCCTTCCAACCCCGAACATTCTGTGATTCTGTGATTCTGTGATCAAAAGAAGAACAGATGAACGTTAAAGTGTGTTTTAATTTTGTTTTCTTACTTTTTCCCTGTTCTCAGATTCCAAAATCCCTGAGCTTTCCCAATGTTCTAGCCATTTCTTTCCACTTTTAAGTCCTACAGATCTTTTCCCTGGTTAGTTTTCTTTCTCCCTTCCTTGAAATTCTTTCCAGTACTTTTATATCAGCACTTCCCATACTGTGAGCTGTTCTTCTGCAGTAAGGGCAGGCTGAAGTATGGGAAAACTGGAACTTGATGTCCAGGGCGTTTAGTGAGCACATAGGCCTTTTGGTTATCCGTGCTTGTTTCCCAGGAAAGGACTACAGACACAATAACCTTTTTGTGATAAATGCAGAGTTCAATTATTCTGCTAATCATGACCTTGATTAACCCAGACAGGAGATTCCCAATAAGATAGCAGTGTCCTTCCCTGTCTGCTCTCTACTTGAATGGCACTGCTTTTCTGGAGACATCTCCCATTCCTCTTGTGGCTGCTTTAAACACTAAGCATAGGGCCTTTCAACTGCTAACAGCTAACTGATAAGTGATGGCCTGCTCTTGTGACTTTAGTATCAGGTGCTGTACTACTGAAGTATTACTGAAGTGCCCTGCTTATTTCCTTGCATGTGTAAGTATTTTAGGTAGTTGGCAAAAACATGTACAGTTTTTGCTTTTTTTTACAGAGATGGAAACCTTGCCTACTGACTCACTTTAGCCAGTGTTGTCTGGAGAAGAAAATGCCAAGAATTCCCACACTAAAACAATGTTTCCATTGCTCAGAAGAACAAATGACAAAGAAAGGCTGAACATTGTCGGAACTTTTGCAGTATCTTCCTCACCAAAAACTTGGAAATCTGTAGGCAGAAAAATATTTCAAAAACAGTGTGAATATAACATTCTTAATCTGAAGACCAGAGTAATATTCCTGATGACTTTAGTGAGTCTAGGATTTCATTTACATCCAACAACCTATTTCTTCAGACCAATAAACTCTTTCAAAAACATTACTTAATGTCTAAAATGGTAATATTATGACAATTTTGCGCAAGATTGTGGCACATATAACTCCAGATTCTTGTTTCAGGTGTAATGAAACACAGTACTTGTGTAAGAATATATATTCTCAGGCAAAATTGATTTTTAACACAAAAATTTAAGTGCATGCATATCCTTAGTGACAAGATCATTTTTATCTCCATGTTTTTTATGTTTCATGAATTTCGTAGGGACTACTCATATGTTTTAGGTCAAACATGCAATTAATGAAGTCCTTGTCTGAACAGGATTGTTGAGGAACCACTTTCATTTGCTGTCTTTGGTGTCTCAAAAGATGGAGACTGAATTAAATGAAATATTATGGTACTTGCTATTTTTTTTATCAGATGTGAGTTTTAAGAGCAAAATAAAGACTTTCCTGTTCTTTGAATCAGATACAGATAGTTGGAATAAATTCATTATTTCTGTTCAAGTGGAGATTCAGACTCTGAGCAGAGGTAGATGACTTCTTACATGAGAAAACCAAGAGGAGTTTATTTGTTATTTGTCTGCTAATATGGACAGAATGAGGAGGGGTGTCTCACTGGTCTTAGAAAGAGGGGCTCAGAAAGCTGGGCTATCACAAGAGAGTTGGAATAGTGTATTTTCTTATGTGAAATGTATATGGGAGAAGAAACGTTTACAGGACCTGAGGTATTGTTACAAATATCTTCATGAAGAGTTCACATGGGAGTTGTAGAGGCAGGTGGTTTAAAATGTCTTGAAGAAAGTGGTTAGGGATCATTCATTTCACGAGGGAGTGGTCTCCAGGGAATGAGGTTTCTAGTAGTGTGTGCACAGAAAATTGTCTGAGTCTCTGAGGAGTATCTGGAGGCAGATGTCTCAGGAGAGCATAGCAGGGAAGGATGCTACAGTAGTCTTTACAAACTACTTGGTTTGTTCCATAGCTGCTTCTCCAAGACAGAAGAGGAAAAGTTAGCTTCTTTAACGTGTATTTACATTTGTTTTTCTCTATATGGAATATGATTTGGCAGTCTTTTACTCTTTGAATTCTTTTATTCTACCTGTGGAGGTAGTAGTTCAAACAGACTGTAGTTCAAGCACCAACACTGCACGGCTGGTAATGAGAAGGAAATTAACTGTTTCTGGAATCTATAAGCAGGCTTACCAGACTTATGAGTCACTACCTGAAAATCCCCGGCAAAGTACTTCTCAGAGGTTGGGAGGAGAATGACAAAATAAATGTCTTGGATGTCTCTTGTATCCTAAATTGTTCTAATTAGATTTGCCTCGTGGCCTGCAGGGAAATTCAGGTCTTTCCTCATGGAATCGTAATACAATGGAAAAGTTTCTTTTCCCACCTTTTGCTTAGGAGAGAAAGAAAAATCAAAATAATTGGAAAGCTGAAATAAGGTAACGTATACAAAGCTGGTTACAGTTGTGACACAGTGATTGACTTAGTCATCACTAAGTTTGGGTTTTCTATAAGTAATTTCTGGTACCCATAGTACATATG